TCAAGTAGCTTATATTGTATAAGAGATAAAACGGGAATATGTTCCAAATCTGTCTGAAACCGTAAATCTCAACACGCACATACGAGTGACGAAATTCATGTTTATCGATTTCAGACGTTTCATAAGCGGCAATACGATAATCTTTATAATTCGTTTAAAAAATGTTTTTTGAAGAATACCACAACAAATAACACTTTCAATGGACTAATGTTTTTGTACAAAGAAATTACGTTATAATAAATTTTAACGGTTCTGTCACTCATAATTGAAAATGAATTTATAAAAAGTTCTGGACAGAAAAAAAGAATAAGAACACTCCTAAAATTCACCATTAGCGTGATGGGTCATAGCCCATTCTTCCTATTCGATTCCATCTATAGGGAAGGCCTGAGTCCCACAAGAAGTTAGGGTGGTGATGATGATGATGAATAAATTAAATGTGAACTATTTTAGATTCCATACTAAAGATTTATGCTGGAATTTATTTGTTAATTATAAAAAAAAACTCTCTTACGTTCGAACTTTGTATTCGTTTCGATCGACGCGTTTCAATTCTAATTCTGTGTAGACCTAGAAGATGTAGACCTATTTTTAACATTATTACCGTCTCGTCAACAGTTGTTTTTGCGGCACAATCAATGTTCATCTAGTTTCTAAGGCCGACGTGACGTCATATTACTAAGATTAGGTACTTTTTACCATTACAAATATATCCTCTTCAACAAAAACTTAATTGCTATATCGAAAAAACAATGTTATCAGTAAAAAAAAAATAGTAATGATGAGTTAACCGAGGATAGCAACTTTGCTAGATCTATATCTTCCATATAAGCTACTTTGTTTAATAGGGCCCAACACTTTTGACCTCTGGAGTGGAACTGAATAGGGTTAAATTACCCATCCTTAACGGTCTGTCAGTGCGAGATTATAATTGAGATGCATTCAAAAACGCTGTAATATATTAAGAGACAGTGGCTTAGTCATGTACGTAAAATGTGCGAGAGGGTCATGTTACCATAGTGTGTAATTTCTTACATTTTAAAAAGCACTGGAGAACGCCAACCCTCACCTCAATATCTCGTCAGACACAGGACGTGACACTCGAGCGTCCTAAAGATAGTTAATCTGACTCTCTTATATTTCGTTTGTTCTTTTGAAAAACTTAAATAAGATTTGGACTTAAGATTGCACACTTTATATAGGTACTGATTATTAAACAACTGGCTTTCCGCCAACGGCGTGGTCCCTAGGGAACTTTTGAATATCGATTCATATCATGACACGGCTATAATTTCAATGACAAATAGTAAACAGAGGTTACTATGGAAACTTTTTAATTCCTCATTCAAATTTCCACTCCCATTTTCATCCCTTTAATTGCTATTTCGGGATAAAATTTAATTATATCCACCACATTTGAGGGAGCTCCCCTTAAATGAAAGAATTTTTTTAAATCTCTCGATAACAATTAAATCTTTCCTTTTTTAATATAGAAGCATGGATCACTAAGAAGTTGTCGTCTTTGATAATAAAAACTTAAAATATCATGGTCAAATAAAAAAAACATTAGTTCCCGAAATCTAACTAGATGTCGCTACGGTACTTTCTTGATTTCTCCATGACAACCTTTCCGGTTTTCTTTCATGTACAAAAGTGAATTAATTTTCAAAACTCAATAAACAACTCATATTCTATTTGTACTATTTCGTATTTGTATTGATTCCTAAGTTCCGAACTTTACAAACTTCAGGTTTTGAATATGTTAGTAAAAACGAACAGAAATTAATATCTTTGGTCCATTCGTTTCCTGCAAAAATCAACTTTTGCTAGAGTCGCCATCTAATGAGGTGCTTTATTTAGCGCTTTATTTTTTTAAATACTTCCTCATTGGACGATCACTAGAAAGGTGAAATTATTTCATATAATTTTATTCCGAATTTTATCTAACACGTGTGTTATAATCCTCTAGCGGCAAGATTCTGCACTAATCTGTAACAGCAGCTACTATTCACAACGTTCCGGCATTATTCTCTAGATGGCAGTGTAGTGTTATTTTTGTACTTAAATCAACGGTACAGTTACCTTTATTACAACCCCTTTATTGTAATAGTTGGCAAAACTAAAATAATGTACTCATAAATTATAATTGGGTTAATTTTTAAAAATGCTTTGCCTAGCTATATAGCATAGCCTATGTCACATAACGGAAGCTACATAGTTTCCGTAGGTGAGAAACTTTTAAATTGGTGTCCATTAGTTTGGGAGCCTATTTGATGCAAACAAACAAATCATTCCTCTTTATGTTTAATATACCAGTATAGTGTACATTTTCATTTTCAAGAAAACTTAATATAATATGATAAATATTTTTTATATGCTTGGTGACTTATTTTCTTATCATTTGAATAAAATAATCTCTTTTGTTTATAAATATATGTAGTCAATATAAAATGACTACCTGAAACAAATTTAATAATAATACCTACTTATGTGTTCAATTTTTATTTAAACTTACAGTTGAAATCATTGGTCAAAATTATGTTTATGTGTCTATATTGATAATTTCATATCAAGTAAACTATAGATGTTACATAATAAAAAACCATTTTGATATTATTATATTTTCATAACTCTTATGGTGTTTATTTCATGAGTTTTTTTTGGTGAGTTAAATAGGAAGTTGTCTTGTACTTTGAGGTTTATTGATACAATTAGTTGGCTGATAATTAGCGTTGTTCACTCAATGACATACGTTTCACGTAGTCATACCTACCAAACCTATTCACGATTTCAGTTGAACAGATATGAGTCGGTTGCACGGTCGATTGGTGCTCTCGAGGTCTAAATCGCGCAGCATTTTCAGGCAGCTAAGGTTCGTGTGTATATTTTAAATAGTGAAAGTGTAAACGTGACACATTGTTATAAGAACTCGTGAGTGTTTTGAATGCCTTCGATCATATTCCCATTGTTTCACTTCAAAATAAACAATGACAAAAATAAAGAACAGTGGTAAGTTCAAGGTTTTCAAGTGCCGTGTGTGACTAAGTTCACCAAACTTGTTCAAAGTACAATCTTATATATAGTTGTTACACTGGAGTTAATACTTTATTTTATCTTTTCTATTTAACTGAGAATACTATTTTCTCAACTTTGTTTCTTGATTTAATTTATTTATAGATGTCAAAAATTTATTAAGTAGATTCTAGTCCTTAACATAATAACCATTTTATTGGTTTTATCTCTCAGGAGATAGTGCCAGTGTTCTAATTTGACTATTCATGTCAATGACAAACAATAATTTTATAGTGACATGTTTTGCGCTAATTGCGCAATAAGTATTAATATTTAATATTCTAAACAAACTAAACGATGAACATGCTTTATTTTAGGTTTAAAACATCTATTTTGTCTTTATTATAATTTTAGAATAGATAGACAATAATTTTAATGTAATCGGTTAGTTTTTCAAATTCAACATCATAACATGTGGTTAATCCGGATAGGATTAATGCTAGTTGAAAACTTTAGGGTAGCCCGTAGCTCAAAAAGAAATAATAATTCTAACAAGGTATTATAGAATCACTTTGTTTTCCATTTGTCCGTAACAAGATCATGTTTCTCTGATACCATGTGTTAATTATGTCACACCATTCATGTGAAAAGTGGAATGTAAATAAATGATGTTAGTTGCGTTAAACTTCACTAGTTGTAATGTAGTTTTAAAAATTCCGTTGTGTCTATCGCTAATTGCGCATACATTACTGACTATACTTTAGTTAATAAAATATTATTTATGTTTACGATCTTGCTTTTCACAATAGAGAAAATAAACTAAGTAATACTTATGTTACATTAACTTTACGTTACGGAAAAATGATGATATCCAAGACATTACGATAACTCGCAGTCACGATATTGGCGACCGGTCGATTAGTGACGTGTTGATTACATTACGTTTGCGTAGTAACACGTCACTTGAGATTTCTTGAACGTTATCGATAGCTTACAATTTAATCACTTAATATCGCCATCACGTGACCTTAACTGAATGACTAATTCCATTAATTTTCATTGAATTTAATCCATACTTGTACTGCTGGATTTAAGAGGAATGGCAAATCGGAAAAATATTCTACAAAAAGGGAAAAATATTATTAATAAAAATGCTTAAAAAATTCACTTTGTATCTGGTATCCCATGTCAGAGTGCCAGAGACATTTTTCATTAAGAATATTTTGCAGTATAGCAGTGTGATTGAAAATTTGATTAAATTCATTAATCATAAAATTTAGTAATTATAAAATAGACATTTACAAAAAGTTGTGCTCAAGTCAAAAATATATACTTGAATATTATCTGAATTAATATTATTTTATTATTCGTAATTTTAAGGGCTTATGCAGTCCATGTAGAAACTGTAGTCACTGCAACTTAATAGATCTATTGTAATCGCCAGAACTATAGTAGGTTTTAGTACTCTTTCGACCTGAAGGCTCCAAAAATCTGGCTTTTAAAACTTTCATATCTTCTGGCGTGATGATGTGTCTTCCCAGATGTACTTATGCTTCGTTTGTGGATCAGTGATCTACATTCGCACTGGAGATGTTTTAGTTTTTCACGCTCTCGTTTGCAATATCTGCAACTGTGAATATCACTTAGTTTCATGGAAAATAGGTATCTTTTTTTATTTTCAGTATCCAGTTATCTGTATTAATCCGTGTACTCGTACTTTTGCGTTAATTGATTAGAAATCTTCATTGGATGTTAAAAAAACGCCAAAGTTAGGTAAGATTTTAAATGACAACAAATGTTCCTATTTTTCTACTGTTCAGCTAAAGCTTCCTACAAAATACTGTCAGTTCCGCAACATATACCGAGTACGCCAAAATGTAAATCGCCCGAGACCGAGACGTTTTTCATTCTCATTCCGGGATGACAACGCTCATTACCCACGGATTGCTTATTAGGATATGTATTTATTTCTTCTTTGTTTGTTGCAGCTTCGATGTGGAAAATGGAGGAGGCGTTGGGGGAGGCGCAGGGGGGGCGCGATCCCCCCTCGAGGGCGGCTCGCCGTCCACAGCGCTCGTCCTCCAGGCCATGCCGCAGCGCCGCGAGTCATTCCTCTACCGCTCCGATTCCGACTTCGAGATGTCGCCCAAGTCGATGTCGAGGAACAGCTCGATCGCCAGCGAAAGGTAAGTTTTTGTTTACAACACACTTGTACATAATTTTTCTATCGTTACCTTTATAGCTATAAAAAAACAAGTTTACACGACTACTGATCCAAATCACGTGACATTACAGCATAAATACTGAACAAGAAAAAATTCTGCAGAATTCTTCTTTTTTGAAGTTAACTCAAAATAATTCCGCTTATTTTTTGTTGACTGAAAAAGTTTACTAATCGTATGGAAATAAATTATATTTCAAGATTTAATTCCAATTAATAGTAAATGCAAATGTAAACATTAAATACCAATAAGATTGTACTTAGATTTCGAACTCAAAACACACAATGCTTCATTCATAGCAAATGTAAAATAACTGCCTACATGAATCGAAAACTATTGTAAATTATAATTTTTATACTTTATTTCAAGTGCTCGCGTAGATACAGTTAACAACACATAAGGTTATATAAATCTTGTCAAAGTTCCCCACTTAATTTATAAACTGAGGTTATGTTTTATGGGTAAGTTTATAATCAATAAAAATATATTCAGGTTATCACAATATTATTGTGCTAACCTGACGTATAGTCGTATGCAAATTTAAATATCTTCGTTTGTAAATAAAGAAGTAAATAAAAAACACATTGACACACCAACCTCATAATTACAAGAGATCGACTAACATAATGTTTTCTTTTATAAACACAAGTTAATATCGATCGATCAGAACGAATCAGAACAGATCCTCTTCAGTGTATTACACTATAAATGTAATAAAGTTTTCATTTAATCACCTATAAAAATATTATATTATGCCATGTTCACATAAATATATGAAAATTGTAGCTTTTTTCAATTATATTTGTACCCGAAACAAATATTTTTGTCCTGTCTCAATGACCGATCAATATGCCATCTGTCCATATAGACATCCGAAATGATGACAGAGAATACATAGCAGACCCGGATTACAGTTAAAGAACCTCTACATAATTAAATTCGTGACGTAGTTTAATCTTGTTGACCTTACACGTATGTTCTTACGTCCAACTTGCCCTGCAAACTATGCGGAAGATGCACGACAAGTTGATTTGGCATTCAGAGACTTTCACATTTCAACTTACTTATTTTTGAAACAAAAGACTGTCGTTAATAGTAAATAAATATCAAAACTCATTCTGTAGTTCTAGATTTGAAATAACATTCAATAAGATTTTTTTTTTAATATTTCATCGTTACCGATCTTTTACAATTTTACCGCTAGACTTCGTTCAGAGATCTAACGAGAGAGGAAAAACGATTTTAAACTACTTATTTAAACTACGAGTATTAATATAATAACATTGAATTGCATTTATATTCGTTAATATCTATAACTTATCAATCCAATATGAGGAATTTTAATTCACTCGATGGAATAACTTTTAGGAAGGTTTCTCATTTCACAATAGGTATTTGCTCAGTTTAAGAGATTGCTTAGCTTATTTTTAATTCAATTTATTTCTACAACCTAATTTTTTTAAACTTATGATTATGAATATTAATATACTTATGAGTATCAATGTTTGAAATAAATGACTTATTAACTATGACCTAGCTCTCGAGCTCTGATTAATTTTTTATTTATATTGTTTGCTAAATTCATTTGTCTTTCAAAGACTATTAGATGGACGATTGATCGCACAGGTTTGGACCCGGCGAGTATAATTAGCACGTCCATTCAAATCATATATTCGATACATTTCATAATTTCATTGTCATAAACAACCTTTTCCAATCCCATTCCGGGCAATCTATGACAATTATTGACATTCATGAATTAGAAAGATTCATACATTAATTTTTGAGAGCTCTGCCAAATTTTATCACAAATATCGTGTTGTCACGTCATCATGCTTATACAAATGCTTATACATATGTACGAGTCGCAATCACGTGAAAAAATGACAATCACAAAAAAAACATCATAATTATAACATGTTCGGTCATTGCACTTCTGTCTCTATCAACTAGTCACGTGAAACCATCCATTGCTAATTATAACAATTACATTTGCAAGCATCATATAACTCCTTCCATGTCAACATAAAATATAATAATAATTTTCTTTATTAAATACACGTTAAACAGGATGTTCTCGTTTCTATATTACAAACAAGGAAATATATAAAATGACTATTGCTACGCAGTAAGATCTATTTCTTTTCTTTTATTTCCGTAAGGGTTACCCTTTACATAAATAAATATACTTAAGTCCTTAATTTTTAAAAATTACCGACTTAAATAATTTCGTGTCTACGATAAACCTAACTAAATAAACTAACGCTACTATATCTTTGAACTCTACATTTATTTTCTAGAGAGTAATTCTCGAATTATTTCAATAAACTGTCTGGAGTAAGATATATATAAATAAGGAAAATAGACAAACATCTTTAGAACTTTTAAGAGTAAATCGATACTATAATTATACAGAGGAGTCATTTGATTGTTTGTGCATTGAATAGGCCCCGAAACTATTATTTCACCTATGATGTAGCTTACATCATACGCGGGTGACGTTGAATATAATTTAAGTGAAAAAAATCGCGGGAAAATAGCAAATGTTGTCTATACTTATAAATTTAATGTGTAAGACAGTTATCACAGGAAAATTATAGTGCCATTTCTCTTTGCTACGACCGATAAGAAAGCAGATATAGAATTTAATCATACTCATAATCTCGTTCATTATCTTTTTAAAGCATTTTGTTTCAACATATTGCTAAGGCTTTATGTATACTATGTATACATTTAGCCTTAGGCCAAATGCGAAGCGAACTCGCGTACGAAGGATTCCGTATATGAACAAAAAATTCACGTGTTGTATGGGAGCCTCATTAAATATTTATTTTATTCTGTTTTTTAGTATTTATCATAGCGACAACAGAAATACATCATCTGTGAAAATCTCAACTGTCTATCACAGTTCAAATGATGATGACAGTCAGACAGACAAACAGCGAAGTCCTTGTAATGGGGTTCCCGTTTTACCCCTTTGGTACGGAACCCAACAAATGAAGTTTAGTTTCGATAATATCTGGGACTACGATTTTTTGAATAATTAAAAAAAAGAAAGACATGGTCATCATAATTATATTATTGTCCTCTCTAGAGAGGGAAAAACCAATAAACCAAAATTTTGGTCACCAATCCATAAGCAGCCTTAGTGAAGGTCGCTTATCCTCCTTAATCACAGAACGACCGCGCTGACCAATGCTCTAAATAAATGTAACATCTATTTTATATATATTAATACGTGAAGCAAAAGCTTTGGACCCCTTTTTACGAAAATTGCGAGGACGGAGGAGTATGAAATTTAGCACACTTATAGTTTATATGTAGAAGAAGTGCAAATGGCTAATATTTTTCAATTAAATGCTGATAAAGTACATTAAATCGATAAATAAAACATGTATTTGACACACACAAACAAGTATGTGCTACACGCATACATGTACTCTGTGGTCAAATTGTTTCTTTTGACATAGAGTTTGTTTGTTTGTTTTGAACATTGGCTTCGCACGGTTTGTTCATTTAGCAAGTGTCAAGTTTTATATGTTTACCACTGGTCCTTCTCAATATCAAAAGATTTTCGATTTCAGTAATAACTTCTTATTGAAATTTATTATGAACGAATTTCGACCACTGGGCGACCACTAGTTTTGTTAATCAGTCATTACTTATGTTAAAGCTGGTAAATTTCTTGCTAGTTCTTCTTATGAGCCAAAAGACGTCCTGAAAATGTTGGTCGATTCAAAAGTTTTTTTGATAAGTTTGTCCGATTATATATTATTTTGACTTTCATTAAACCTTGTCATTAGATCCTAAGGGCAGTTGGAAAAACGTTTATTAACATTTAAGCTTCAATTAATGTCAATTTTGTATGCGTAATGTCGCTTTAAACTAATGATAACTTTGGAAAAATATCAAAAACCATCATTATCACCCCTTTTGCAGATGCTCTACCTATGGATGGTTTGGCCATGAGTGATTGGCCATGACCCTGGTCCTATGCGGGTTAAAAGGTATTAACGACTGCAAATGCAGCAGCGACCACTGGCTTAATGTACCTTCCGAATCGCGGAGTAGCTCGAGATAATAATTTTTGGTCACCTATCCAACTCTTGCGAAGGTTACTTAACATTAATGATCGCGGGTCGCATTACGCCGCCAAGCTGCTCGAAGATCATAAAAGTTTCATCATTCATTAAAGTGAATGCTTGTACACATGAATCGGTTACACTTCAGTTTACGAGTGAACTCACTAAACATGGAAAAACTTCTACTAACTTTTTGAATCCCGCAGAGTATCCCGCTGTGACGTAACGGTGTAACACATAATGCCACTTTATCAATAACTGTCAAGAGTCACATCTCGACCTTTAAATAAAAGAAAAATACGACAGGATTTCCTCCTGCACTAGTCTTAGAGACTGCTAGGAAACAGTAATTACGAAAAGTATAAATCAGAAAAAGTCCTGAAACTAAAAACGACTACAGAATGATCGCAAAAGAGTTTTAAACAACAACAATTGTAACATGGTAACACAGACACAGACAGATGTGGTTGTTTGAGTCCAGGCCCGGATTTACGAGTTCTTCCAATTTATTTATTGGATTGGGTACTAAGTGGCACCCTAGCATTACCTAGTACTTGACCTTAATATAATTGGCTTCACGTAATAATTAGGCTTCACGTTATAATTGGCCAGACACTGTTATTTTATTCAATATACTACAGAAATATATTTTTTATTTCTGTTTATTTTAATTTGTTTTAAGTGGATTTTTTAAGCATTTTGTATTAAGAATAACCCTATTTAAAAATTTAATTTCTCACAATTTTAGGCAATAATTCAATAACCGATTTCTCACTGGTCTAGTCTTTTATTCACTTCTTTATGAAATCTCAATCTGAAATTTTAAACTCGAAAATTGATAAATAATGAAAATAACTAGGTGAGTAAGACGTGATGTAGAAT